GATTTTACTGATGATGCACAGCTGGAGGGCACTGTCATTAAAAAGAGGATCAGGATATTACACAGGAAGGCCAGATGACCTAATGAGTGGAGTGACAGAAATAAGATGAAACTGATTAGTGCGAAGTTCAAGGTCATGCACTAAGGGTCTAATAAGCATTTCTGCTACATATTGTGGGCTCAGAAGTTGGAAGCAACAGAAAAGAAAAGAGATCTCAGTATAAGTTTATCACAGGCCAACTATGAGTTAACCAAAGTGATGCAGCTGGGAAAAAGGCAAATATAATTCTAGGTTGCATCAGGTAAAGCATTTCTTGCACAGATAGAGAAGCATTAATGCAGTTGTACACAGCACTGAGATCTCTTGGCATACTGTGTACATCTCCAATCACTCATGTTCAAGAGTAATAAATTTAAACTAGAACAGGTGCAAAGAAGGGCTATTAAGCTGATCAGGAGAATGAAATGCCTATCTTATGAAAGGAGACTGGAAGATCTTGACTTGTTTAATCTAACAAAAAGAAGGCTGAGAAAAGAAATGATTGCTTTCAACACAGGGGAAGTAAATACCAGGGAGGGTATTTATCAAAGAGCTATTTAAGATAAAAGACAATGTTGGCACAAGAAATTAGTATAAACTCTCCATGAACAAATTCAGACTTGAAATTAGAAGGTTTCTAACCATTAAAGATGAGGTTCTAAAAGGAGTTTTTAGGGCACACAACTAAATTAGCTGTAAGAGAGAGCTGGACAATTTTATGAGTATGATTGTACGATGGGGTTGCTTGTGATGGGAGGGGGCAGGGTTTGGCAGCTGTAGGGCGCACTTCTGGTTTTCGTCTTACGTAGTTTAATCCTAAAACTACATGCTTCAAGGTTTCAGCTGGCCACCTACAGGGGTCAGAAAGGGATGTCCTCCCACTGGAATATATTCTGGGGTGTCCCTTTTAATTTTCTTCCTTTGAAGCCTAATGTGGGCCACGGCTCTGACTGGCACTGAGCAGTCTATCTCTCTGGTGCTTGACTGGCTGGTTCTTCCTCATGTGCTAAGGGTTTAACTGTTATATGTGGGGTCAGGAACAAACTTTTCCTCAAGATATATTGGCAGTCACCTTCAGGATTTTTCACTTTCCTCTAAAGCATGTGGGTGCAAGTCACTTGTCAGGATTATCTTGGTATATCTCACTTCATAATTTCCCTGCCACTATGGAAGCAACAAGCATTAGTGCACCCCCATCCTTTCTACTTTCTGCCTATAGTACATACCAGTAGTCTCATGTGGGCAGTAATACTTTGGTCTAATTTTGACTGGTGGGTTAATTGGTGCTGATTGCTGTAGGTGGCTTGTAATATACAGATGGTCAGATTAGCTCAGGAGTGGGCAATAAATTTTGATTGGGGGGGGAGGCACTCCAAGAATTTGTAAGTGGACAAGGGCTGCACTTTTCCATTATATTAATGGAGGAGATGCAGGGTCTGGGATGGATGTTGGGTGCAGAAGGGTAAGGAACTGTGGTGCAGGAGAGGGCGTGGGATCTGGGACAGAGTTTGGATGGAAGGGGTTGTGACCTGGGACAGGGGTGCGGGGTCTAGGAGGGGGATATGATCTGGTACATGAGTGCAGAAGGGAGTACACAGAGATTTGGGTTGTGACCAAGGGCAGGGGATTGGGGTGCAAGGTCTGGGAGGGAGGAGGAGTGCAGGAGTGGGGGAGAAGAGTGCTTAGGTTACATGGGGCAAGACTGCAGAGGGTTGATGGATGGGATGCCAGAGACAAGTTCTGCCAGGCAGCACTCACGTAGGTGGCTCCTGGCCAGCAGCCCAGCAGATCCCTCAGGCAGACTGTCTGTCTTGCCCCCAGCTGCAGGGGCCATATACAGTTGCTGTGTGCCCAGAGGGATGGGTACTTTGTGCACAGCCTGTCCTGCAAATAGGCAGCTTCCAGTTTCCAGCAAATGGAAGCTGCAAGATTGTACTAGGGGCTGGGGCAGTGCACAAAGCCTCTCCCTCACCTGATCTCGGACTTGCAGCATTCGCAGAAGCACATGATCATTGCAGTGGTGGCATGTGGAGTGAGGGAACAGAGGAGCCTGGTGGAGGCTCCTGCTGGACCATGGGCTGGATTTGGTAGCTTAGCATGCTGGATCTGCCCCATGGGCTATATTTTGCCCTCCCCTGGACTAAATATTTTGCCCATCCCTGGACTAAATGATCTAGTGGTCCTTTTTTGCCTATGACTGTATTATCACAAAATTGGTAAATTATACAAAAAGATTATCAATATTTAATTTACTAAAAGAAGTATTAAAATCTTGCAATTTCCCATTTATTGCACCAGCAATTTTTATAAATACTTTGTATAAAACATCAGCATTCTGTAGCTTTAATTCTTACCTTCTACTTTTAGAATGGCAAGGTATATCATGCTTAAGACTGTTTTCTTCTATCTGCAATGTATGGTTGAAAGATCCATCAAGTTCTTGCACTGTCACTTTAAGAGGACCCTGAAAAAAATTAAGATAATTTCATTATTAGTATTAGAAATTAATGCATCTAATATAAATGTAAACCTAATATTAATAAATGTGTATACAGAAATAAATGTATATCAATAATGATTTGCAAACAAACTATGGAAAATGGTCCTTACCACATATTTCTGGGTCCCAGGAGAAGTATAGTCTTGCTTTATTTCCAATTCCAATACATTTCGTTTTCTATTAAATGCAAAACTGCCATAAAATTTTACCACACTACTCTGATCCCTAATAAACTGTATAGGAATCTTGAAGGACAAAAGATAGTATTTATAAATAAAAATAACTTTTATAAGGTTTATAGTCTCATGCTTTGCACTAGTTTTATATTTGAATGTCACAGTACAAAGAAATCCAAAGAAAAGTGGAAGGGTAAAAATATGTTGGACTCCCTTCCATCCTATCAATGAGAGAGAAAAGCAGCATGCAAAGGAAGCACCTCAGGAATATTTTTAAAAAGTCTTATTGAAATTTTTATATGCAGAAAGCTCAACAAAATGAATTATTGACAGAATACTTAGTACTGTGAAAGGTAGTAAATAGTTTCCACTGACAAAATAAAGAACAAGTCATAATGCAAAGCTGTATTATTTCACACTCCCAGGCTACGTCTACACTGGCCCCTTTTCCGGAAGGGGCATGTAAATTTCACGAGTCGTCGTAGGGAAATCCGCGGGGGATTTAAATATCCCCCGCGGCATTTAAATAAAAATGGCCGCCGCTTTTTTCCGGCTTTTAACACTTTGAAGTAAGAATAAGAGCCTCCGGAAAAGGGCACTTTTTCCGGAGGATCGGGGCCAGTCTAGACGCTCTTTTCCGGCTTTTTTAAAAGCCGGAAAAAAGCGGCGGACATTTTTATTTAAATGCCGCGGGGGATATTTAAATCCCCTGCGGATTTCCCTACGACGACTCGTGAAATTTACATGCCCCTTCCGGAAAAGGGGCCAGTGTAGACGTAGCCCCATAGATGTTCTTGAGTATCATCTAGCACAAAGGTACCCTAACTGAGGGATGTTACCCTCTTAGGAGGGTGTGGAGGAATGAATGGGGTGCAGCAGGGACTGGATCAGCTACCACAGGGGGCAAGGAGGGAGCCCTTCCCAGCTCCTCTCCATCCTTAGCATTGCTCTGTTCCCCTCCTCCCCCATTTGTGTCTCCAGTGCTGGCTCCACATTCAAATGTAGAGCCTCAGTGAAGCCAGCTGCCAGGATCCTGTGCGTGCCAGGACGAGGCCCTCCTATGAGCTCCAAATTTAAATGAAAAGTCATGGCGGGGAGATGCAGCCAACTCTCCAGGTGGGCAGCATTTAGCAGGTAACATTAACCAATAAGTATAATCTTATCAGTAACCTGTTAACTGGTTAAATTCTAATATCCTTAAAATCCATTATGAAATATTTCACTACAGAAATGTGATATGCTCTAAAATTACTTTGAAGCATATAGATATTTATGTATTATCATAGTATTGTGGAAGAGTAATCTTGCCTTGGGGTGTTTTTGTGTACTCAGAGTTATATAAAATATTACTTATGGGAAAACTCAGAACAAATGAATAACTCCCACATACATTAAACTGAGTTTTCTCTACTTAGACAGTACAATTATATGGCACGTGTGAGATCCTTAGCCATAACAATCTGTCTCAAATTTTCTTTAGATTAGATCCTTTGGTTACCGTCCCCAACATGAAGAGCTCCAAGAAGCTCAAAAGTTTGTCTCTTCCAGCAACAGAAGTTGGTCCAATAATGGCATTATCTCACTTATCTTGTCCCTTTCATAATGAATGAATAAAATATGAATGAAACAGATACATTTATTTTTAAAGTTCTGTTATATTAGGGCTCACATTGATCTGAAAAAGTACTGTTTCCAAACTAACTTCATGGGGATCTGAAACACCACTGAGTATGAGCATATATTATCAGCATGAACTATTATCAACAAGTTTATAACACTAACACCAGCCATCCCAAGTTATTTATTACTAGTCTGTTTTCAGCTATCAATCTGCTACCCCATGTTACTGTTGCCACAGTGATTTACTAGAAATCACAGCTAAAAATGCACCAGACATTTAAGCATTTACCATGTCAGACTTCAGCATATTTCTATGGGCAGTACCTCCGGCTCTTTGTAGAATAGTTTGGCCTTTCTTTCTACTAGAGTGCACGTGCTTCTTTCATAATAATTTCACTACTGGTAAAACTGACAAATACTGCAACTCCTTCTAGTCTTGAAAAGCAAAAAGCACCCAGAAAAAGACATCATACTGTAAGTTACTATGAAAGGAATTTGAATAAATAGTTTGTGCCCATTTGTAATGCAAATCCCTTTGTTTCTAACTCTTTTTAAAATTTAGGTATTTCATATCTTTCTGCACATTCCTTTAATAGTGCCAATGAAAAGCTACATTTGTTCTCACTTTAACAATCCAGAACTAGAATGAAAAGGATACACCCACTGCTTTATTAAAGGCTGGATGTCTTTGCCAGAGACATTAGAGATGGATTTCAAAAATCCAGATGTGGAAACCAGCATCTGACTCCACATGTGAGACTGGAACTTCTGAGACGAGGCAGTGCTGGCCAGACTCAACAATTTGTTGAAAACCTAAAATGACAGAATTTTTTTAACATATTTGAATACTGAATTACATGATATTTTTATCTTGGTTGTCTTCAAGAAACATTAATACCAATCAGCTCATACTGAAACATTTACCTTAAAAAATCCCTTAAAAAGGGGATTTCAGAAACTCATGTTGTCACTATCTGAATTTTGCAGTCAAATGCAGAAACAAGGTTGCTAGTAACAGGTCAGAGACCTAATTCAAAGGAAGCTGCAGTATCAACATTATCTTATTAACAAACAATGAAAAGGAAAAAAAGGAAGCTAAACACTATTTTACTGTTTCTCATCTTTGCTCACCACCCATCATCAATCATACTTTAACAGGCAGCTTTTTAATAAATTTACATGGAGTTGAATGCAGAAATGAATTTCAGTATCTATTATCTAGCTATAAGCCTTTCTAAAGCACAGGACTATAAATGCTTTGAGAGCTTATAGTTAAGGTTACCATCAACAACAATCATTTTCTTTTTCACAAATGTGATAACACATATAAAAAAGTAGAGATTATCCTTTATCTCTCTTTTACACATAAGGATGCATTCTCCAATAACTAACTTAATTGTGTGTGCATCCTTATAAAAAAATCTTTTATGATTTTATCTCATGTAGTACATTACTGTGTTCCAACTAAAAGTCTATTTAAAACTTGATTGTACCTTTGCTATAAAAAAAATGAACTTCTAAGGCTATCTATTGTAAAATAGGTCACTGAATTTATTTCTCAGGACAGTAAACTGCTGTATTTAAAGTGCATATCAGGGTTGACTTTTCTTCTAAATGACTATAAATTATAAGTTGCCGTTTGGATAGTATATGAAGGAACAGACTATAGGCTGCTGTTATCCCCAATTCAAACAAGAGCTAGAGTTGCATGTTTTGTCCTATACAGTATTTTATCATTATCCCTATTGTTGAATAGGAAAAAACATCTCTAGTGACAAGAGAAGATGACTGCGTTCAGAGTTCTCAGCTATTCTGTGTCTTCCATTATTAACAATGGCACATTTTTAATTATAAAATTGTAAAATGTAAAGAGAAATAGAAATCTCACAAGTATTTAACTGTTCAAAGTAAAATCCAACTTTATGATGTAAAAATTGCAATTTCCTACTCAAGTACTTTATATATATACTTATATGCTCCTGTTAGTCCTGCAAAGCCAAGAGAGCTAAGAGCACAAGATCCATTCTAATTGTTATGGTTTATTATTTAGTTATAATAATGATGCGAGGAGCCCATCATAGGCCAGGATCCTGGCTGTTCTCTTTTTTGTGCAAAAAAATTTGTTTACTAAGTTTCAAGCACTAACTCTACTGGAGGCAATGAAATTCTGAAGATATCACTTAGGAGATAATTTGGGGTTCAGAGCCTTTATTCCTATTTGTGTCAGTGAAGGGAATAGCCAAACCCTGCATCATAATTCAGTTTACTTGTACTAGGAGTACATTTTATTTTGAAGTTAGAGAGACACATGAGCAAAAATGAAACCCCGTGATTTTTAAAAAGTCACTTTCAAGAACATAATTGCAGTTAAAGATAAAAAGTTGAATATACCTTATATAAGCATTAACCACCTACTTGTAGCATGAACTCCATACTGATCCTGTTTTCTATCAATCTCATAACAAGATGGGCTTTACATTGGAACATAGTGTAATATTCCCAGGACAATGTGTGAGGGTGTTTTATAGAAAAATGTAGATGCGATGCAGGGCTGAAACATTAAATCAAAATAATTTAATGTATTTTCTGTTCTGAAATTGATGGCAAAAAGTCCACAACAGTTACTGGTAAACAAGATATGCAGTATTTATTCAGATTTCTATTCATTTAAGACGACAATGCACCATGGGCTTACTTATGAAAAAGTCTACAATTTTTATAGCATAGAGATAGGTTATGCATAGTACAAAGAGCAGTACAGAGAATAAAGTGAGAGAAAACTACAGTTGGAGTAGTAACAGGCTCCTGCTGGGGGGGGGGAGCTAATTGCCTAGGGGCTCAGACAACTTAAAAGGACCCATGATTTCCCACAGCTGCTGCGCTAGCAGCAGCTGAGAGCTCCCTGCCATTATTATATTGAGGAAAATGAAAATGCAGCAGAATGGAGCACCCAAGGTTGCCAATAGGGGTCAAAAGGGACAGCTACCCATGGCCCTTTAAAATGCCACCAGAGCAGCGCAGGTTGGGTAGCGCTGAAAGGTTGGCTGAGGGAGTCTGGCCCCCAAACTCACCCCTTCCACCTCAGAGGTGCCTAGAGCCACTTCCCCACCTTGCCCAATGGCCCAGCGTTTCTGTTGGGAGCCCTGAACAGTAATGTAGTTGTCCAGCAATAAACCATGGTGGAAAGGAAGTACGTCATCAGACTACTGAGAACTGTCCATAGCTTTGGGCCCCCATCCTTCATTTAAAAGCAATTTGATTGAAATAACTGTATGCTTTCCAAATAAATCTTTGTTTAAATATATAGTAATTGCAGTTTCATTTGAAAGCCAATCTCTGCAGTAAAGCTGCTCATAAATTGTAAAATAGCTAGAAAACAGATTTTTGTTTAAACCACACAACGCAGCATATCCTCTCTTATTCTATACACAAGTGGTTCCAAACTGCTGGGTCACCGGCTGGTGCCAGGCCTATTGCGGAGGCTGGGGCTAGGGTACACCGCCCAGCGTTTCCCTTCTCACTGCAGCTGTTGGGAGAGGTGTGTCCTGGCCCGCCTTTCAGCCAACCAGCACCAGGCAGGGCCAGGGTCTCCTCCCGGACATGGAACAGCAGTTTGCTGTAGGCCCATGTGGAGCCCGGCACAGCAGCCTTAGAGCAGCTGTAACACAGGCAGCAGCACTCAGCTGGTGGCTGGGAGGCGGTGCAGGGGTACGTGAGGGGGGGCAGGGCAGGCACGGTGGGCTCCAGGAGTGGAACTAGTGCTGGAGAGGGTTCTGAGTGGAGGTGGAGGGGTTCTAAGAAACGGGGGGCTGACACTGGGGTGGGGAGCTGGCACTGGGGGGCTTTGGGTGCGGGGTTAGTAGTGGGAGGGCTACAGGGGCAGAGCTGGCACAGGGGGGCTCTCGGGAGGGGGCTAATAATGGGGGCTGGCACCGTGAGGAGGCTTGGCGGGAGGGGAGAAGAGGAGAATTGGGTGCATGAGTTACGAGAACTACAGAGATGCCTTGAACAGCTGGCTTCAGCTGTGGCAGCCCCCCACCACGTGGCAGACATTTTCCTTCATTCGTGAGGAAAATAGCTTGTGTGGTATACAGACTTTATATTTTAAATGGGCTTCTTCTTGATAAGATTTAAAATAACTTTTAAAAATAAGCTGCTTGATCTATAGCCCAGTTCAAAAATAGAAGTTACTCTAATTACCTTATTTGTGAGAAAAATAAGAACATTTGCCTGTTTTTAATTAGTAGAGAAGGACCTACAGCCGATAAATTGTATAAGTCTGAATTTATTTTTGTTTGGCTGATGAATTCATGTTCAATGGCTTGTTTGATTGTGCTAGAGCTTTGCCCTTTTTATAAAGTGTTTTATACTGAACGTTCCATAAACTGGTGACCTCTTAAGACATTCAACCCAAAAGTGATGTTATGTACCTGGATTTTTTACATTTTTTTTGGGAGGGGGGCGGGGGGGGGGGTCACAGATCAACAACCTCTGTGATGTGGAAAACATAGAATATTTTTAAATTGCTGCTTTAAAATTTCCCAGATTTATGCTCATGAGCAATGACCTAATTCAAACTTGCATGGCTTCAAAGCAGGCCTTCCACCTATTTTTTCCAAACTTGATAGACAGAGGAGAAAATGCAAGGCAGAGTGAGCAAAATTGTAAACCTTAAGAATCAACGACTAAGCTAAGAAGCCTCACCTTTTGGATAAACAGCCAGCCAAGGAAAAATTCACCTTATGAGAATCTCCTGGCCTTAGAGAGAAAGTATCTCCATGTATCTGAAGGAGGCACAGTAACTAGTGCTATGCCAGCAGACCATCATTTGGCTCCTTGTCTGTTGTTCCAACTCCTACTTTACATGAGCCCAGCCTAACATGAGAATTTAAGAATTCCCAAACTTCTTGTTATCTTAAGTAACATATTTTTCTTTCCTTATCTTTTGCCTTGAATTTAACTGGAAATTATAAACATGAAGGCAACCACATTTTGGAACCTTTTACAGCATCTATAAAGACTAATGGTTTTTGCACTACTTTCGTGATTTAACTCAAATCCAATAGTGATACTGACTTATGTGACAGGATACTGACAATATTTTATGTTCACATACACACCCCAGCTATGCATTGTAAACCTGCACGCATTGTCTATATTTTCTTATTTTCCCTATCCCAAGAAACTGAGAGGTCATTTGAATCTACTTGGATTTTTGTAGCAGCTAAGCACTGTAAAGCTAGCAACCCCACAATCAAGACTGTCCAAGAAGAGCCATAATCTGTGGGATGTAAAGAAGGATGAAGTGCCCATTTAATCGATATGCAGCTTTACTTTATAACACATATTCCTATTGCAATAAATTGTATTGTTTCTCTTCTCAGGATTTAAAGAAAACCATTTGAATCTAGAACTAGTAATAATTGTGTTTGTTGTGAGTGAATTAGATGTATTTGCAAAAAATAGGTTTTTCTTAATGAAAAAGACTCAAAAGTAACTATGGAAATTAACTGTATTTTGGCCACATTCCAACTAGCTATTGAGAGGGAAACATCAGTGCTAAAACTTAACTCTTCTTCACTAGGATGCCTGAGAATTAAGTGAGCGATCTTTCTAGTCAGTTCCTACAGCCATGAACAACAGAGTTAATTTTCTTTCCCAAAGGTATCTCTGAGAACTGGGTGTCTAATTAGCTTTCCCCATCTCCCTGACATCCTAGTAAATTTCACAGAATGACAGCTCTTAACAACCAAAGACCAAAAAAGACTCTTCATCATACTGATTCTTTGCAGCATACAATAACAATGTACGATTTTGCTCTAAGTGAAAACTGAAATACATTTGGAGTCAATGTTTTTAATTATTTAGGGTGTCTTAACTACAGAGCCTGCTTCCTATTTATATTTAGATAGCAACATCTGTTTTAGTTATTAAAATTTAAGAGATTAATAATAGTGGTTTAATTTATATCAAAGGTATAAAATGACCTAATACTCTAATGAAAGGCATTATATATATTATGATTTTATGAAAGAAATGTCATTTTTATATAGATGGTATCCATCGGGGTATTAAAAATCGGGTTTTTTGGTAAACATGTAACTGCCAGCCCCACCCTGTATCAGAGGCAGCAGTACGAAGGGAGAAAGGAGCAGGCAGGAGCTGGTACTCATGAGGAGCCAGCTTTTCAGCTGGCTCCCTGCGAGCATTGGTTCCCACAGAGCCGCCTACCCTTCCCCCCCAATGCCTCTGTATCAGAGGCAGTGGGGGAGCAGGGGGGAATGCCCTTTACTGTAATTGTGAAGGTTAGCCATTTAAACAAATACACTATCACATCCCTAGTGTCCATTTAATTCCTAACCAGGGATCAGAATTGCATGTAATGGGAACACTTACAATTTTAAGCACTTTAGGGCAAGGTACTCTCAGTTACACAATTCTAAATCCAGAGTGAGTCCATTGAAACTAATGAGGTTACAACATAAAGCAGTTTGTTGGCTTTCAAAACATGCAATATTTTTTTTTCAGTGGCTTCCCCAAGCCCCACTCATCTGAAGTCAGCGTCTCAGAAGTGGAGAATATGTTGCTGTTACAATTTTAGCTGCCAATAAAAAACAAAAACAAAAGAACTCCAACACTAAATCAAATTCCACTCCGGCACATCCTATTTAATTTAACAAGATATCCACCAGGCTAGGAAGCCTAAAAGTAGACATAACAGCTATGCCTTGTTTTCCAGAGGTGTGCGCAGCAAGGCCAGCTCACTACTTTGCCTGCTTTGCTATTTGTGAAAAAGCAGGGCACTGAATTAAAGAAAAACCCAACATGAGCTGGAAGGCAAAGTGGAGTAATGGCCTGGAATGCACATGCAAGCTGATTCTGAGACTGTCAACAGCCATACAACATTGTGTTGTTGAGGTATTACTGAGGCAGGAAATTGGTTGTTAATTACATTCCAGTCCTCATTCTGAAAGATCTTTATTTTTTCTCTTTTTTTTAAATCAATGTACAATTATTAAATGGGTATTCTGAGGCAATGAGTTCTGATTTTAAACCAAAACAAAATCTGGATGTGTATACACTCAA